CCAGAACAAGCACCTGCACGCACGCACAAGGTCGAGTCAAAGATAGACAGTCACGAAAGATCGATCTTCAGATTGCGGCTTTGTCGTGTAAACTGGAGCACTGCCTCCGCGGGCAAGTGTATGTCTGGTTGTATGTCGGGTTAAGCTCTTTGGTTGCAGTCCTGCTTATCATTGCTGCATTTAAGTTTAACTCAGGTTATCTCGGCTGGGCGCATCATTCCTTGGCACTCCCAGGGGCTCTGTCAGCAATGCGGTTGTGCTGCAATGGCACTTTGTAGAACATAACTTGACAAGTTGGAACATGTAAACTCTAGATGTTACGAGACCTGAGCGGCGTCCCGCGTAAAACCAACTAATGTAGGGGCCTTCATAATTCGAGTAAGGTTTCGGGGCCCATGATACAATAGTTATTAAAGGCCCCTATATTACTGTCTCAGACAGAGCAAGTGGTGCCGGTCGCCTCTCCATGCATGCGCCTAAATTCGGCCGTTTTCCGGGTCTGGTCACTCACTTACTCTTCCGGTTTGTTTCAACCATCTGTCCTGCTTAAAGGACCACGTGACTTAGTATTATGGGTTATAAGTAAGGTAACTACAGGTATACGTGCGTATAATCCCAATTAATAAGGTACTTGTAACCCTACATACTAAGTCTCATGATCCTCCAAGTGGTGTGTTCCAGTCATGATATCGACGGTCCCCTTTGAAGAATCAATATCGACTTTGGAGGACTGATCCACATCGGAGGGGAGGAGAACTCTGACAAATAAACTTTCACGCCGTACATGCAACATGTAGCGTTCTGGTTTCTGAGTCTTCGGTTTTTAGCCACCGGCTAACTTAAAGACCACCGCGTAAAGCAACACAAAGTCTGAGCCATGAACCGCCGGGCCTCCCGCCCATGATGAGGAGCAGGACCGAGCCAATTTTGGGAGCCCAGCGGTCAGAAGGAAGGCAAGCGCAAAGCCATGACATCCGGCCAAGAAAGCGGAGCAAGTCCTCCATGTCTCCAAGGCCAGACTCTACAAAGAATGCGGGGTGCTCGGTCGAGCTGCAGCAGAGCAGTTTTGTTAAGGACGCTTAGGAGGCGGAAGCAGATCTGAGGTGTAAGTGATTTTCCTTGGGGGGGCATTGTCGCAATGCTCGCTTGCGTGTGACGGCTGGCACAGATTGCTGGTCCCGTGTGGTCTTGGGTTTGTCGATCCTCCCTGTCCGGCTTCTGACCATGGACTCTGCAAGGAGACAGAGAACAGCGCGGTGCGGGTGCTCGGCTGGGACACTTACAGTTGCGCAGAGCTTCTTTGGGCAACTTGTCTATGCAAGTACATACATGATACGGTTTGTAGAAAAGCACCCCTCGGGATCGTGTTGTTGACATTCCCTCTCTCTAAAAATAGGACAGCTTCTCAAGCGGTTTCGACAAGTCCCCCCAGTCCCTGACGAAGACGAGCATGGCCGCTTGAGACGTCCAGGATGTGTGAACAGGCCAGATAGAGAATCCTTGACCAGGTCCAGGCGAACGCAAAACAGGCGGAGGGCCGAAGCTTTTAGGCTTTAGGACTCCAGAACGAAGTGCAGCCGATATGGGAGTTTCCGAAAATGAGGGGTACCTTATTTAGGGGTCCTTATAATAAGGATCCTACTATTTAGGGTACTATATTAGGGTCCCCCATTTTCGGAAACCCCCATATGAGTCTTGGGAAAAGCAGTCCGGCCCCAGCATGCTGCATTCAAGAGCCTACCGGAATCCTCAACCTTCGTTCCCATGCTCTCACATCAAAATGAACCCTAAACCCTTTATAGAACCCTTAAAGACCACTTTAAGGAACCCTTATAGGATCCCTTGAAAGGTACCCCTAAACCCCTAATAAGCCCAGGAGGCCCATCAGCAAGAATCCAATGATCAGCGCAGGGATTCGCACACGGCGCCGCAGCCGCCGGCTAGTTCTCTGTGCCTCCCATGTAAAGCAGGGGTCAGCGAGGGTTTCGGGTTTTGCAGTCGTTTGCCACTTTTGCCTATCACCCGAGATGTAAACTGTGCTGCCGCCACGTGACATTCCAGATTATCGATGATTTCTGTCCGAAGTTGTCAAACACAGAATCATGAAGAACTGCTCCGCTACCGCACGCGAGCCACAGTTACCCATGAAAGAACTTGCCCAAACCATGCGACATGAGCAAGACCACGTGTTCGTGGTGTGGCCTCACTGAGGGCATGCTTAACCATAGTAGCTTGGCAATACCTGAAGCGGCTGAGGCAGGGAGCCAATGCTCGAGTGGGGGAAATTCCTTTGCGCAGCTTAATTGCCCGAAACTAGGGAGTTGGAACAGTGCGGATGGCAAACAAAGTTGCTCGGGTATCAGAACCCGGAACCAAGCGGGAGCTGTAAAGGCCTTCTTGGGACACGAAACTGAGGACGCTCCGACAATGGGTGAATAGGACGGCAAGAACATGAAGATGGTGTTGCGAAGCCGTAGTGGTAATGGACAAGAACTAGTTACTACCTTGTCACGAGTGCCCAGTGTTTGGCTGAAACCTCCAGAATCTTGATTTGTGAGCTTCGGATAGCTTTCGGCCGAATTATGTGATCACTCAAACAAACCCTGATACATGACTCCACATTCCGAATAAGTAGTTGTCTGCCTTCTACATGACGCCCTCAGTGAGGTGCCCTTAATTCTATCCCTATGTCTACACATGCATATACTATGTGTATATATTATATGTATATATATATATAGATGTATATACATATATGTCTAGAGTTAGAAATATGTATGCGTGCGTGTGTGTTTAGATGAGTATGTGCGCAGGCACATGCACAAATATACCAAAACGCACGCTCAGCTGCACGCATGTTCGTTTTCGACTTACACATTTCTGTAAACACATATACATACATACATACATACATACATACATACATACATACATACATACATACATACAGTTGTGTGTGTGTATTCTATCTACCTATCTGTATATATATATATATACACACATATATGTAAGTAAGTAGTTCTACACGGAATTGGAAACCCTCACATTTTCTTATGCAGATTCGGCCTCTCGGAGCTCGGAGAAATGTCCTGGTCGAGGCGTTGTACTGATCTGTCTTAATCAAAGGAAAGCTGTTGTGGTTGTGGTCTTTTTTAACCCTCTTTACCTTTAGCGGTTAGCGTCTGGGAAACCATGCTGGTTGAGGGATGGGGACGCGTTGAAGGACAGAACCGAGCCTTGTAGTATTGTTGTGGAACCCTTCTAGAAGTGTTCAATCGTTATCAATGCTTTCCATTGCCTCAACCCGCTGCAGGCCGCATCGGCTAGCTTTCGAGCAGAAGGGATATGCCAACTTCGCCCAACTAACCCCTAAACCCTGATGAACCCCTGCACTTCGTAAACTAAAGTCGACACATTCCGAAGACCCAATTAAGCTGCCAGAAAATCGAGGTCCGCAGGTGTAATTCTTAACGCTTACGGCTTACGGTTCTGTTGCTCTTCCAAGTGCGGCGTCACTCACCATCTGCTACCACCAATACAGCCTGGTGACACCCAATGACCAGGTTGTAAACGTACCGGCTTAAGACGAAAAGTGAATAAAAACAGCAACACCCCCTGCCCCTGGCCCGAGCACGTACTGTTTGGATGCAGGCCGTCCTCGTTCACGGCTGCAGCTGCGGCAGACATGATGCGACAGCTCGGTTCGGCACTTCCTGCCAACGAGCCGAGTTCGTGACTTGACACACCTTGACCTCGAGGTTCAGACGGCAAGCATCTTTCAGCAAAACCTCTGTTCTGCTTCACTAAACTGCTGCAACATCCTGGTCCTTCCACCTTGCCCACATCGTTCTCAGGATAATCCTGCCTGCAGGAGCGGACTCAATCTGATCATGAAGCATTGCGCATCAAGCTTCGTCAACAGCACGGACAAGACTAGTCAGTTGTGGCTGTGGCTCATGTTAATTCGTGGCGGTACCTATCTCGAATGGAGACAGACTGCTCTCTAGCGAGGGCTTGACTTGAATTCCTCAGTGAGCAGACAGAAACTCGATTCTTGTTAAGGAACTTAGCTTAAGTTACCTTAACAGAGGTCCACAGTAAGTAATACGGTTTCGTTATTATGGTAACGTAAGCTCAAATCCTTTAACAAGAACCCCAGAAAAAGCTGGGGCGCCTCTGATCTTCCGAGGGCACTTCTTCATTGACATTGACACGGCAGAAGGCATCCTTCTGTGTCTCTGCCATGGCTCTAGACACTAAAACGGATCAGAACGGCGGCAACCATTCACACCATGCAAAGCAACAAGTGCTGCTAAGCCGATGTGGCTACGGAAGAGTGTGCAGATGCCGTTCAAAGTGATAGGTGGCAGAGTGGATGGGCCCTGCTTCCAGAGCACCGTGACCAGGTTGGTCGACTGCTTGAAGTTTAAGGTCTCTTCAACATTCCTCTGCTAGAGCAGTGCCCAAAACCGGGTTACGATCCCTGCAAGCTCGCAAGACTCTGAATTCTCTTCTCTTCCACCTAGCACAACCTGTCCCACTGCCTGACCCCGCCTTAACAGAAGGCTGAACAAGACAACAAACGAAACCCGGCACGCCTGAAACTGCTGCAAAGCCTGTCCTATCCCCATGATCCTGTCAAGTTTATAAAATCGACCTGCGGTCGATACTCATGAAATCTTTAAGGCCCTCCATTGCCAACCGCTGTAATTCCCACTTCACCTACCCTCAGCCGCGCACCCCGAAATCAACGAAATACCAAGACCCGACACCCCCAAACCATAAGCAAAGCCCGGAATCCAGTGTAAACTGCGGGAATAACAAAACCCCGAAAGCCCAAACCACTGTAAACGCTATAAGCCCCAAGTTTCCAATAATAACACGCCCTCTCAAAATGAAGAGAAAGTGAACATCCTCTCCAGCTGTTGTAAGTACGAGTAACCCTTACGAAAAACAAGATTGTAAGTTATCACCAAACAGTCTGTGCATGGCCCAGGCACTCCCAGAGCTAAGCCGCTGTGAGAGCCCACAGCTGCGATTCGGGCAGTTCCTTTCCAAACGGGACCCGAAGGTGCAATACTACATGGAATGTAAATACGTTGGGGTTTCGGGATTTCAGGTTTAGGGTGCGAATCTGTTGGGGTCCACGTCGAGGTTAGGGAAGATCAGGGGGGTTGAGGGTAGCTTTGGCTCGGCCCTGGAGTGTGGATCCTTGGAGTCCGAGAATAACGTACAGGGAATTGCAGCCGTCATCATCTTGTTCCAGGCTATACCTTTCTGGGCCTAGGGTGAAGCTGTTTGCTACCCCAAGTCAAAAGTGGGGATGTAAACCGGTCTGGACTACGACTCCCCTGAAGGTAACAGGCAGCATGACGTAGCAGTGTGATTGTGCTTTGAAGAGGACAGGCCCCAGCTTCGAACAGCCCTCGCATCCCAAGCCTCGAAGTTTCGAGCAGCGGGTCGCCGTTGCGACAGGTTGCCTTGAGAATGAGCAGCTGCCAGGCTGCGACATTCGCTGCCGATGATGAAACACATGGCATGCTTACTTAAATGACCTTCATGCGCTTGCTGCATATGATGTGAATACACACATCAGACAGGTACTCAGGCAGGGCAGACACATATGTCAATGTACAATTACCGGCGAGACTCGAACAACTAAACACTTCCGGAAAGCGGGATCTTTGGAGGGTCCGAGGCATTCCGCCTGTCCGCAAGTATGAGACCATTCCTGCGATTTGACACTGGGACGGTGTCGGTCGCTTGCATGACCGAATTTGTTTGTTTGGAGCCGTTCGTAGTTACAGGTTCGCGTATGAATGAGCCATACATGATATCTGACACATGAATGAAAGCACCCTCAGAGCGGCAACCGCCCTCTGAAAGAGTCGGACAGACGATTCATGCAGACGAGCAGCAGATTTTGGTACCTAGGCCGCACACGCGAGCTTACTTGGCCCAGTTAGGTCATCGGATGTTCTCTTAAAAAAATGCAACCCTGCTAACCAGCCATCAGAATTGTGCTGAATAACCCGAATGCCCAAGATGCAAGGCACGTGCCACCGAAACCATGCGGCCATTTTGGGCCCCAGCAGCCTCGGCAAAGGTCTCGCCACAGGCTGCCGGATCCGGACTTTTCCGACAGTGCTCCAGCAGCCATGGATCCAAAACCAAGTCCCTTGAGGTGCCTGCTAAACGGCCCAGGTCCGAAAGTACCAGGCTGAGGTGAGCTTGTCGTTGCAAGAGCCGAAACAGGGTCTCTTGCGCCTCCGGTAACTCCCCGAGGTCCATCAAGGCACAGCCAAGCTCATCATCGCCAAGCTGATGGACGGGCGCAGTTTCCAAAGCTCCCGGAAGGGCTCGAGACAGAATGCTGTAAATTATGCTGGAAATATCTCCGACCTTCAGGGGACCATGCGTGCTAGACGAACACTGACACGCCCCGCAGAGTGATGATCATAAACATACATGACATATGGCACATGGTAAGAGCCCACTGGGGCTTCATGGGCCTGCGATTGTCCTCGATGATCGCATCGCAGCCACGAGGGCAGCAAAAGCGGGGCCACTGCCTCGAAGGCCGCTCTTTTTGATGACAAGGCGTACGAGCTAGGGTTCAAGGTCTTGGGAAGGTGTTTGGGCCTGGTTGGAGATCTAAACTAGCATGCACCCGAAAGCGCTGGAGGGGCGAGGCAACTAGCTTCGATAGGAGAAGCAGTTTCGCTGAGCCCCATCCACAACTCAGTGCAAGACAGTAATGAATTCGCTTGGAGAAATGGAGGTCAAGAGATGTGACGAGTCTCCTGTCCCGTAAAGATCCCTTTTCTGCGACTTGCACACTGTTTGTGGCTTCTGCCGTTCCCAGAAGCGATACAAGCGAGCAGTGCGTGCAACGATCGAAAAAAACGGTAGCTAGTCGTTTGAGCTAGGCGCCGACAGTATGTTCGAAACTGTATGCCACCTGCCCTGCCAAAGAAGCCGAGGAGCAGGATGTCTCGGCAGCCATGCCAGCAGCAAAGTAGCTGTGAGGTGCATGAAGTTTCTTACTGTCCCGGTCCCGAACTGTGGTACGTAAACAGAACCGAGGCATTCATAACAAAACTGCGCAAAGCCACTGCACATGAAACACAACGCTTCTGTTCGGAAGGCAGCTGTATTTCACATTAGCCACTTCCTACACAGGTCATGTGTGAAAAGGAGGAACTTTCTGGCGACACGACTGCCACGATGCAACACGCCTTGTAGAAATGAGCAAAGAAGTGCCAGAACGGATTGGTGCTGACAGGTGGACTCTTACCTCTCTGTCAGTCTGCCGTGCCCGGACTTTGCACCAGACCTTTTCATAGATGTGCATTCAAGCTCTTCAAACTCATCAATGGAAGCCAAGAAGCGGCTGCAGATTGTGTGGAAGTGCTTGCAAAAAGAACTTGGAAGCATGGTAATCACTGGATCATGCGAGTTCTAGAGCCTGCTAAACATTGGTTTCAGTCGACAGCAGGGCAGCCGCAGGACAACCGTGCAGGCTGGCAAACACATGAGACAGAATCAGGAAGTAGACACAAAGCAAGTCGCCCATGCAACAGTGCATGAACATTCAGCTAAAATCTGGCTCCCTTTCGATTCTTCAAGAAACCTGGAAGCCGAACCCCAAGTCAAAGCCGCGCCTTGCGGCAGCAGGCATTGCCGCGGCCGCAGAACTTGTCGCAGATGCCGGAACCCATGCAGGGAATCCAGCAGTCGTACCCTCACGGCGAACTTCACACTTCAAGGTCCTTCTCCGAGCAAGTGGAGAAGACTGTTAAGTTGGATTTCGGCTGATCACTTGCAACTGGTGGTAAGTAACGAAAAAACCCATAGCATATCGCGGTTCCTCCCAGGAAAGCACACATGGCTGCTTCCACCCTCAGCCCCTGGCCACGGTGCAGCACCGGCAGAGCCTCTTCGGATTGTTCAGTCAAGATTAATGTAAGCTATCGCGTCCTTTGGTTGGGTTTGCAGGGAGAAACCCGCGAGGAAATTCTACCAGCCACTAATACTACCACTCTATGCGGAGATGCTCCCCAAGAACTACGACGTCACGAAGCACCCGTTCCCACAAGGCAGGTATGCTCAGGGCCCTGCCGCAGCTTCTTCCGGGTGAGTGAAGGGATTGTGCTGTTCCTGGGACTGATCAGGGTACTTTGAGGTTCTATGGCTTTATAACCTTACTTTAGAGGCTAATCATTAATTTAATCAAGTTCAAAGGCCAGGATGGCTTCCACTGCGGCCGGGCGTCGTAGGGGTTCACGAGAGGAAGATCCGCCTCTCCAGCGTCCTTGCAAAAAGCGGAAGGATGCGAGTAATTACAAAGGGCGGGAGCAGCAGCTGGAATTCGGGATTTCGCCCACCCACCCCCCAACAGCAACGATGCGCTGACCTCTACAGTGCTGCAAGTCTGTTCGTCAGGAAGCGTATTGCGTGCATGACTTGAAGCCTTCGGATCAATCGTCAACGACGATTCTTCGCTGATTTAGCTAAATAAAGGCTCACCCCCATGATCACAAGCCTCAGTTACAAGCTGTTACAGTTACATCTTGGAGGCAGAACCCATCCTTTTTGACAACCTGAGAAAGGGCACAAGCAAAACCGTCTATGCCAGTCTATGCCACGGATCAACTTCAAAATTTGGTGTAATGTTGCCCCATCCCTGGTACCCTGAGGGTGTCCGTGGGAGCATACTGGAGACGGCGCAGGTCCAGCAAAGGCGAATCTGACGGCCCTGCAGGCCCATAGAGCTCACACGACTTACGTCTGCACCGTCCGCCGCTGCACCGAGACGGTCACCGAGACCGGAACAAGATTCCACCAAACTGCAAAAGCATGTGCATTTGCACTTGGCACCATCCGATTCTAAACGGAAGCGATTACTGAACTCATCTCTGCATGCTCTTTTTGTACACGTATTTGGCGGAGTGTCCCATCCTTGAGCGATGGCCTTTGCGAAATCGCTCAAACTCTATTATAACTGTTTTTTTGTGTGATGGTGGGGGCCGCAATGACGGTAGCATTTCACATAACCACTAGGCACGTCAGATCCTTACTGGTATCATAAAGACCACCAGACCACCAAAAGAAGCTGCCTTAGCTTGGCTTTCCCTCCTACCTACCCCCCCCCCCCCCCCCCCCCCGGTTCCCCTTCGCCCTCTTCGGAGCCTGGAGGGCCGAAGCACAGGGCGCCCGCAAGAAGCGCGCCAGCCAGAGCTAGAAGCACCGATGAGGCCAGAACCCTGCCGAAGGCCGGCAAGTCACTGGGATTTGGGGTTTAGGATGGTTTAGGGGTTTGTAGGGATGTAGGGGTTTTGCGCTTTTCGGTTTGAGGATTGCGGGACTGGAGTTTCGGGCTTCTTGTTCTTTCTTGGTGGGCTTTATGTTCTTTGAATTTGGTGAAGCTGCCCAAAAACCATGCCTCCTCCGGCTAAAGCACCGGCTGGGTGTGATGCTGACCTCGTGAAGGAGCCGAGACTCCTTGCAGCTTCGCAATACTTCAGTTCCTAGCGCGGTCACACCTGTGATGAATTCTGGCTGTTGGCAGCTTGCGCACAGTCAACCGACTTCAACTGAAGGATAGAGAGACAGGGAACGAGCGAGTGATCACGACTCCAAAGGGTCACTGAAGTGATACTGAAAGCTCCTCCTCCTCCCGCATCATCCGCTCAGCAGCTTCCATGGCAAAGCTTTGTTGCCGGTTGGTGTGCTTCGATGCTTAGCCCTCTGCATGCATCTTGGTTCAGGTTCATGCTGCATCAGCTCTCAGACTTGTTACCTATCGACCTTGGCCGCTAGGTTTGCCGATCTGCTCGCTTGATCGAGTCGATACCTGCCGAAATGGCTGCGGAAGGGGAAGGTACTGTTCTGGGGCTCATCGAGACCTATGCCTGTGGTTCTTCTCGAAGTATGCTATATCTTTGACGCACATGGCTTTTCCGGATGATTGACGATGAAACGGGGGCTCTTGGCGATAGCTCTTATCCATGCTCTCCACAGATGTATCACAGCATGAAGACAAAGACAACAGAAGTTGGTCAGACAGACAAACCGGCTAATTTACTTGTCCCTCTATCTGTTCATATCATAAAACCCAAGGCTCCAAGACGCGACAAAAGTCTCTCCCCCAAGAAAGCGTCGGGCACCAGGAATCCGCCGAGTCGATCGCAGGGCTCAACTTCTCTCTGCAAGAGCTCCAGAAACTGGCACGGGCTTGGCAGCACTCCCAACTGCGACTGTAGACACGTGTGGCTTGGAGGCTGATAACGACCAAGTTGACCAACAAGAACTATAGATATGGAAGTACCGAGCGAGGAATCAACGCAACATCTGCCACGTTCCGATTCTGCATCCTGCACCGGAAGGCAGGCACGGAAGCAACATGGGATGAAATTCTGTTGAAGATGCCAGATTTGAAACCGATAGTGTGTGTCAAGGCACAAAAGCACGCGTATGCACGCAAGCACGCACGTGCACGTACGCACACATACGCAGCATGCTTAAACGCACCTTCTGCATCGAGCCATGATGAAAAGCAACAGTATAATCGATAAATGTCATGCTAATCCAGCAGCAGGATCGCACCAAGGGCCCACCAGCCTTTTCCTGCAGCGCTGGGCCATGGATGTTGTAGCCGCAAGCCTCAGTCCAAGATCTTCAGGCGGAGTTCCGACAATCCAGACCCTCCTGTTTCACTCAGAATGAGTCTCCAAACGCGAAGTGTGTTCGGAACCGTATTTTCAAAATGAAGATGATGAGAACCCTGAAACTCGTGGGATAAGAAGCCGGGACTTTGGCGAAGAGCACCGAGAATCGGCGAACCATGCCGCTCTAAAGCAATGGTGCCCAAACCCTGACTTTCAAAGGCAAAACGAATACATAGCCAGTGCGAGCGACACAGAGGCACAAGACGGACCGATAGGAAGGCTGATGCACAGAATTGGAGGAAGAAGCTCATCGTAAACTCGAAGTAGGATTCCACGCCCAGTTGTTGCCGGCGCCGCTCTGGCAAAAAAGCCCACGAGTCTCTGCATAGCGCCAGGGACGAGAGGCCTGGCTAGCGACAAAGCCGTGATAGCTCGGCTAAACGGCGTCGAAAGTATTTTTTCTGCAGGATGTCAACTTGTGATAGCAACTACAGTACCCCACGAATCTGCGCAGCGCTCCATTCCAACCCAGACAGATGGGATGGAATGGCTCTACACAAGCTGCCACCTCTGCCTTTACTGAAGGTGGATTTGATGTTGAGCCGGGTTCTTACTGCACAG